CCCATTCTGGGCTGGATGGCATCTTGGATCCTAAAAGGGAGGTTGGAGGTGAAGGCTGAGAACAGGCAGAGCAGCTGAAAAAGAATGATCTTCCGAGAGAGTTAACCTAGAACATGACTTTGGTGGCTTCTTTGGACATTGGACACAGCAGCTCCGCAGGGACCATGGGACGTGGTTGTGCTGTGTTTTGGGGTGCCTGGGCCAGGAATTGCTCCTGTTCCTGCTGTGGCTGCAGATGGTGAAGCAGCAGAAGCTCTCAGAGCTAATCCATATGGGAAGTGCCAGCCCAAAGCCTGGTGGTTCAAGGTGATATTCCACGGGAGGAGGTGAGCCAATGGAACATGCACAGGGCCTTGGGAACCTGGACGTAAGACAAACACCTGATTTAGTGCCCCAAGGAAACGATTGTTTGAAGTGGAGACAGGAAAGAGGCAGCAAAGCGGAAGGAGGACACTTGGATCCTTCCCCAAGGGGATATTTAAGGGCTGAACTTGTTAATAATCCCTTTGGAAGGTGGGAGAAAAGGCTGAAGAAGAGTTGTGCCAGAGCAGGCACATGGGGAGCTGCAACACGGAGCTGCTGGAGCCTGGAGAGACCTCAGCAAGTGGAGGGCACTGGGGAAGAAAGACCAGCGAGGATCTCTGGCAGAGGTGACAAAGGAGGAGCACATCAGGCCAGATGTTTTCAGGGGTGCAAAGACCTATTCAGACCATAACACAAAGGTCTGAGATCTCCTTCAGTGTGGTGCATCCAGAGCAGCTCACCTACCTGCAGGTGGCTGTGGGAACCTGATGAGAACAGACTGAAAGGAATTGGCTTCTCCTGTTTAAAAAAGACTGATAAAAGAATGTGATTCCTCTTTAGGAATCCCCCGAAGAGGCAAATATTACGGTGGGAGAAGAACTAGGAACAGTGTAATGGTCAATGGAAATATGCTGGTGTAGGAAACCAGAAGGTGATGTTTCCAGGTAGAGCACGGTTTATGGAAGAGACTATGGAAAACCTGAAAAGGGAAGGGAAGGAGCATGAGCTGTTTGCCTCAGGAGAGGCAAGAGAAGGCAGGGACAAAGGTGGGAGAGCAGAGGGGGTGAGCAGGGGCTTCCCTCAGGCTGCCTCTTCGCCTGTGTGGGTCTCCCATTGTTGCCCTGACAAAGGCAGCCCTGTTCCTCCCCACAACTGTTCCTTGTCAGCATCCCTCAGCATTTTGGCTGCAGATTCCCTGCCCATTGGCAGCCTTTCAGCAGGCACAGAGTGGGGATGTAAAGTGGCTCAGTGGGGCAGGATGGTGGAAGGTATCTGTGCCATGGGGTGCAGGGACAGGTCTATCTGGTGGGGATGCTCTTCAGAAACCTGAGGAACAGGGTAGTGGTGTCCACAGAAGTGGCCTCGCTGCTTTTCTCCTGTGTTAAGCCAGTAGGGACCTGCTCTGGCTCCCAAATACTGGTGAGATCAAGTGGTTAGCCCGAAAACACACAAGAAGCCAAGACCTGAAGCTGAGTTAAGGTCTTCTTAAAGTGGCTAAAGTGGGAGTCATGACCACAGGGCTCGTTCCATCATCCCTCCCCAAACTGTGTCTTGCTGACTCTTTCCGTAGGGACGCTGCTCCTTCCCTGCTGGTGCTTTGCCTGGTTCTGGTGCTGGCCCCTTTGACACCAAAGCTTTGTCCATGGTGTGGATTGGCCAGGAGGCCCCAAGGCTGCAGAAGCAGGGGCAGTGAGCTGGGAGATTCCCAGGCTCAGGAGCTCTTCCAGCTCCTCCTCACCGCGCTGAGAGAGACCATGGGCTGAGCCGGCCATGGAGCTGGAGGGCCAGTGCCTGTCCCATATGTGTGGGCTTCGCTGGTCCTGCTCATAATCCTGCCCAAAGAGGTGGTGAATGCCCCATCCCTGGCAGTGTTCAAGGCCAGGATGGACACAGGGGCTTGGAGCAGCCTGCTCTAGTGGAAGGTGTCCCTGCCCGTGGCAGGGGTTGGAGCTGGATGAACTTTAAGGTCCCTTCGACCCAAACCAGGCTGGGATTCTATGACCAGTCCCCAGAGCCGTCAGCTTAACCCACAGCTCGACAGCCTCTCCGTGCTCCCGGGATGGAGAAGGAAGGGGCCCAGATCCCCCCCACCGTGCTCTGCCTTTGGGAAAGCCTCTTGCAATGGTGCAGTGGTCCCAGCAGTAAACATACACTTCACAGGACTGCTAATGGGAACCAGATGGCAGAGAGGGGCCCTCTCCCTCTGCAGTCGCGCTGCTTTCCTGTGCCGGAAACCCATCGGCTTTCCGAGGGGCCATGGGGCTGGAGCTCTGCGTCTGAGCAGCTTCTGGGGTGAATATTGCCTTCCTCAGCCCAAAGTGCCCCCACTGGGTGCTAACAGAGAGCTGTGGCTGCTCTCACACGGCCGCAGGTACATGCCCCCTGCCAATGCCAGACGAGCTCCAACCCCTAAGTTCTGAGTCATAGAATCATCATAGAGTCACAGAATGGGCTGGGTTGGAAGGGACCATCTAAAGATCATCTCGTTCCAACCTCTTTCCACTAGACCAAGCCCAGATCCCCTTGGAGAAAGGGGTCTTTTGGTCCACACAAGCCATCAGATGCTCCCAGGAGTGGCAGGAGGAGGATGTGCAGCAAAGAGGATCTCGCCTTGTCCTGAGCCATACCCCCGGAATGCTGGCTGCACGACCAGGAGAGGACACTCAGTCCTACTCTTCCCAGGCTGTGTAGATGGCCGAGAGCCTTGCAAGGAACAGAGGTTTGGAGAGGCCAGATGTAGCAGTTACGGTGCCAATCTCCACCACGGAGGCCTGGACTTGGCTTTCTGGCTTTGCCACAGATGCTCTCTGCATCCCTGAGGGTTGACCTGGCACTTGTGAAGGCTTCATAACACCACCATGTCCTTCAGCAAAACCTTTGCCACTGGGGTTCCTCTGCTCAGGGAGGCTTACGGTGACAGCCTTGGGCTCAAATCCCACCCTGTGAGCCCACTAATGCCCCCTTGGAAGAGCAATGAGAGCAGCTGAGAGCCTCCTAGAAACCCTCGTGTAGTTTCTAACTTGTTGTTTCCCCTTATCGCTTCAGCACAGCCTTCCCCCTTGAGATTTCTACTCCTTCCTCGTGCCCTTTGGCAGGAAGGACATTTAGCAACTTCTACTCACATGCAGCTACCCAGAGGGGACCTCTCACTTGAAACGAAGGCGGGGAGAGCACACAGGGTACGTGCACGGAGGGGTGGTAAGAGAAAGGAGACCTGGCGGATGGGGCTGGATGGAGAACAGCAAGCCACGGGGCAGGATAAGTGTTGAAGGGAGCAGGGTTTGGGGCAAGAGAAACAAAGGAACAAATAGGTGGAAGGAGCCTGGGGGTGTGTGCTGATGGGGAAGGGAAGAGGGGGCTGACGGAGAGACTGAGGGGGAGAAGGGGGCTGGGATAGGGGAGGCAGATGAGCTGTGAGGGGAGAGGAGGGGAAGCTGGGGTGGAGAAGTGCTTGTGGCAAAGGCAGGGGCGAAGCAGGAGGGTTGTGAGGCGGGACACCGAGTATTCTGGGTGCTTCAAGCTCCCTTTGGGACTGGTGCTGGGCTGTTGGCACCAGACAGAGCCTGGAGACACGAGTCCCATGGGATGGGGGGTCTGCTCCCGCGCCGGCTCTGCCCTGAGCCCCAGCACCCACTGTGTCTGCCACCCCCTGCAGCACACAGGAAACAATAACCCAACCGCAGGGCGACGGGAGGTTATTTTGGGTCACAGGAGCTGTGCTCTCAGCTGAGGCTGTGAGATGGTTGTGACAGGGGTTGTGCAGCCCCCAGCCCAGCACCACCGCAAAGGACGAGGAGCAAAGGACTCTCAGTGCTGGGAGCTGTGCTGGGTGCAAGCCTGGTGTCAGCTGATGGGTGTTGGGACTCTTTAGGCAGCAAAGAGCACGCAAACCGCAGGGAACGTTGGCAGAAGTCACCACGAGGTTGGCGTTGTGGAGACTGGGGTGGTGTGAGGATGAAAGGGTTCAGGAGGAGAGGACAGGAGCAGGAGGTGCTGGTTTGCAGCCCCAGCACATCCTCACCCTTCCTTCACCTTCCCATTCCTTGCTCTGTCCCTCTCTCAGCATCATTCGCTCAGCCCCACAGCTCTCACACATGCAAAACAGGGCTCCTCGAGCCTCGTCTTTTCGGGGTGTTTTGAAGGTGTGGGCAATGGGGGAAAACCCCTGAGGTGCCTTTTCAACCAGTTATTACCAAAAGGGGTTATTTGCGAGGCTGGTGGTTGGGGTTTTGTTTCCCTTTTATCTTTCCTGTGCTGTGTTATCTTTCCTGTGCTGTGCTCCAGGACCAATCACCTTCCACATGTGAGCAGAAGCCATCACATCACCTCCTGCCTGTGTTCCCATCAGCCCCCTTCTGCTTTAGTTCAAGATCTCTGTACGGGATTAGCGGAGGGCGATGGGTTTAAGCTGAAAGAGGCAGATTCAGGTTGGATGTGAGGAAGAAATGTTTTACATTGAGGGTGGTGGAACACTGGCACAGGTTGCCCAGAGAGGTGGTGGAGACATTCAAGGCCAGGCTGGATGTTGTTCTGATCTAGTTAAATGCAACCCTGCTCATTGCAGGGGGGTTGGACTGGATGAGCTTTGAAGGTCCCTTCCAACCCAAACCACTCTGTGATTCTAGGAGTAGAGCTACTGAGCTCAGTGCCCAGGTCACGGTCCAGCTTCCCATGAGCAGTGCTCCAGACCTGCACCTCCTGCCCACCATCCAGGCTGCTCGGCCTCAAACTCTTGGCTCCCTCCAGCAACCCCCAGACCCAAGAGGCTGCACCGAGCCCATGGGGGAAGCTTTCAGCACATCACCATCAGACACCAGCTTTTGCAGAGCTGGGTTTGGGGTGACGAAACCAGCCCTGCTCCTGTTGACATTTCCTTTCCAGGTGTTGCAAGAGGTTGGTCTCGGACACCTCCGCAGGGAACATCGCCCCACGGACCTCAAGCTCAGGATTGAACAGGCAGAGGAGGAGAAGGAACCATGTTCCAGGCCTCGGGACCTGCCAGCCCCACCCCAACTCTAGTATGTAGTGGTTTGTATGTGTCTTTCCCCCGGGTTTGGTTCTTGGGGAGGGCTGTGGACAGATGCTCTGTTCCAGACCTGACGTTTTAGGGTGGTCAAAGGCACAGTTGCTGCTTCTCAACCACCAGGACTGGGGCCAGGAATGTTCCAGCAGAAGGTGCTGTGTGCTGAGCCCATCCCATCGCTCTGCTCCGTACGGAGCTGCTCACCCCGCTCTCGCTGCTGTCTGTTTGTTTGTGTTTCCATGGCTTTCCGCGAGCACAATCGGGAGCATGCGAAGCTGCTCGGGCTTGGAGATGGAAAAACATAAAGGCTCAAGAACATGTCCTGCTGGGACAGGATATGGCCCTTCCCGAGGGAGGACAGATCAGATATGAAGGAGATAGCGCTGCCTGCTCCGAGCCAGGAGGCTGCTGAGAAGTGCTGGGCAGCGGTGGATTGCTGTAGCCTTGGGAACGGATGTATCCAGCTCCAAAGAGGCAGCGCTTTCCTTAGCTCTGGAAGCAGTGTTTGAAACCCCAACCCCAGGAGAGCACCTGCGGTTGCTTTACCAGTGCCAAGGGATGCAACTGGTTTTACACAGCCGGAGCCTCCTCGCTGCCTGCGTCCCTCTTGTTGACTTTGGCTCACTCTTCCTTGAGGGAAGGAGAGGGAAATCAGCGTCCCTGACCTGAGCCAGTGAGAGCAGCTGGGAAACGTCTGAGGAGGCAGCTCGGTGAAGTGAGAGCTTCCTGTGCGCTCCTCACGAGCTAGTCCCAGAAATACAGAGGAGAAACAATGGGGAAGGCTGAAGCAGGAGGGAAAATCAGCCTGGGAGCCAAGCAGAGCAAGAGGAAGGACGAGGAGGCAGTGGGGTGATGTTCTGGGATCACCCTGGGAACAAACAGTGCAGAGGGGGAGCCAGAATGTGGCAGAGAGGTTCCTGGCTGGTCCACCTTGCTAGAAACAGGTTTGCTCCTTTGCTCGTGTTTGAAACAAGAGGAGAGCATCTTCACCAGTGCAAAGGCAGGTCCAATACATGCAGATGGCTGGCAGCGACCCAGTGAGGACCTGTGCAAACAGCCTGGGAGGGTGCAGGAGTGTGGGGAAAGTGAAGGGCAGGAGCAGGAGGTGATTTGGGATGAGTTGTTGCAGCTGCAGATGGGAGAACGTACACTGAGGCCCTGCTCTGAGACCCTGAGGGCACCTCAGCACTTGGAGCTCTGCCCTGTTGCTGCTCCAGCAGTTGCAGGGTCCAAGTAACGTCTGCCCCCACCAAGCTGCACAATGCCACGGAGCACTGCATCAGCTCCATCCATGCCCTTCATCCCTCCTGCATCCCCCATGGGCACAGATGGACGCAGAGCCTGCAGGGACTCCAGAGGCTTTTCCATCTCAGCCGTGGTGCAGGATGTCCTGTGTGCTGGGCTGATGACGGGGCTCAGAAACAGAACATCTGCTGAGGGCAACCAGCACAACAGCTCCACGAGAGCGAGGGGCAGCCCAGTTGTGCATGAGGAGGTCATGGCTTTGGCAAGTGAGTTTGGAGAGAGCCAGGCAGAGGCTGCTGGTGTGCCCCAAGGTCCTGCAGCTGCCTCTTCCCATCCTCTGCTGCTCCTCCTTCAGCACGACTGAGCACCAGGCTTGTCAGTCCAGGCTTTCATTCTGATTTCTCTTCTCCTTCCCTTCTTAGGAGGCAAAGAGCAGTTGTGCATGAGGAGGTCATGGCTTTGGCAAGTGAGTTTGGAGAGAGCCAGGCAGAGGCTGCTGGTGTGCCCCAAGGTCCTGCAGCTGCCTCTTCCCATCCTCTGCTGCTCCTCCTTCAGCACGACTGAGCACCAGGCTTGTCAGTCCAGGCTTTCATTCTGATTTCTCTTCTCCTTCCCTTCTTAGGAGGCAAAGAGCAGCGCAGGAGGCAGCACCGTGCAGCGCTCCAAGGTACCTGCGATTGCCGCATCCTTCACGGCAGGGAGGGAAGGACCAAAACTCATCCTATCATTCAGCAGTGGTGCAGCACAGGGAGGGTGAGGGGAGATGGGGAGGCCTCACATAGGTTTGGGTTGAAGGGAGCTTAAAGCTCACCCAGTCCCAACCCCTGCCACGGGCAGGGACACCTTCCACTAGAGCAGGTTGCTCCAAGCCCCCGTGTCCAACCTGTCCTTGAA